AGGGGTATACTGTATCTCATTTCCTGCGACAGTATTGTTCCTTTACTAAATTTTTTCTTTGTTATTTGTGTACTTTTTTCGAATAACTTATTGAGAAAGCAAATTAATGATTGAATGGGAATGTGTAAATTTTAAAAATTAAATTGCAAATCTTCATATCGAAAGTTAATAAAAATTCAATTTAATGAGATCTACAGGTTTATTCCCTAAATACACAATATTTTGGCATTTATAAAGCGGAAACCACAAAGCAAAATCAAAAGTATGTTATTCAATGGAAATGTGATATAGTTATGTATGCACTATGTAGTACATACCCAGAGTTATATTTACAAATCGAAGGTGTTTTGTATAAAATTCGTAGAACATTTCCTTGACAGTCCTAAGAACAAAAATACGTACATTAGAAAAAATCGCCACAACATACGACATTTGCCAAACTTACAATATCAACAACAATATTAAAAAAACTATGGCACCGAATGCGAATTGAAGTTTTGTGCGCCCGAAGTGCTACGAAACTACAGGTAACTGGAGTGAACTCAACTGAACTGCTGGTGTGCTGGCGATGTGCTATTTTTATTGTACTATACAACAACTGCAATTTTGTAACCAGCTTCTCACCAGTTTTTCCGTAAGCTTTTGTTAAGAGCATCGCTTGCCAACCGGATCATGGCCAATATATGCCTGTACCGAATTTGAGCTAAATTCACGATTTTTCCAAATATAACGACTCCAGCACCACCTAGTGGATCAAAAGAAAACTTGCAAACCTTCCTAGATCCGCTCACTACGATGCAATTGGCAAGAAATGGTTTAGGAGTGCATAAAGAAAGCCTATTTGTATATACATACATACATGCTTATGCACATAGATACACTTACTTTTGTAGTTTCGAAAAAAATCGAATTCGTAAAAAAATTGCAATGAGTGCACATAAATATGAAAATGCCACGACGTGAGATAACTTGGGTGTACATATTGGAAATCATAAGAGTTTCACTTAAATTTAAATTCAGCTGCCGTAATTCATCAACTGATCAAAGGAGATCATGTTGATAATTACCAACAAAAAAAAAAAAAACCACAAGAAAGCGGTTTCTTAAACAGGTGTTAATGAGTAAATTTATTATAAGCAAAAACCGTGGACAGAGTATGTACATGCATATGTAATCTCATTGAAAAAAGTATGTGTGCAATTTTTTCTTGACTACTCGTTTAAGAAAAAAACTCACGTACTACTTGTTTACACACTTCTGTCTCACACATCCTAAACACTAATAAATAGTGTAGGTATTTATAAGTAACATTTCTCAATAAAAACAATCAACAATTATATGCAGTTATTTTAAGAACAATCGACAACAAAAAAAAAA